GTGCGGAATTTAGTTTGTGTGTATTGTTGAACATTTTGAACCGGGGGAAAAAAAAAAAAAAGGAATGGATGGACGAAAACAACGATGGGGGAGCGAGAGAGCATTTGAATAGTATTATAAATAGGCCTAAACGTCCTCTTTTGATAAAAGCTTAAAGTACTTGAAGTTGATCCCCTGAACCATCCCCTCTTAGTACTCTATGCCCTAGACTATCGGCGGATTCCCAATGGTCCATGAGCTCCCCTCCTCTTCCTTCTCTCTCTTTCTGCACTCATTCATGGTCCCCTTTAAATGATGTTAACTGAACTTCAACTTCTTCCCGGAGTTCTATGTGCTTTATGTCCCTGCAGTTCTCATGGATCCTCGGGTGGCCTTCCTGCCCATGTCTGCTAGACTGCCATTGCTTTAATATTCATGATAATTAATGTTATTATTATTATTGTGGGTTGTTGATAGTATTGTTGTCTACTCGGCGGTCTGTGTGTCCTGCCTAGCTGTCCTGGTCTCTGCCTGCTTCCGGTCGTCACCCACTTTTTCATGATCGTCATCGATCTTACTGGTTATATTAGTTGTTTAGCTTCTGTTGTTGCCGTCACATCTGTTTTGTCTCTCTTCTTCTCGTCTCTCCTCTGTCTCTCTCTCTCTCTCTCCTTTCTCCCCAACTGGTCCCAAGAGGCAGAGACCACCCACCTAGAGCCCGAAGGGTCCTGTCCGAGGTTGTCTGCCCGTTAAAGGCAGTTTTCCCTTGCCCCCGTCCGCCAAGTCTTGCTTCATGGTGGTACTGTGGTCTCGTAGATGTTTGGGGGTTCACGGTCTGGACCTGCTTCTATTTTGAGAAGTTCTGAGATATCTTCTTGTTTAATGAAGTGGGCGCTATACATATAAATTGAATTGAATTGAATAATATTAGTAACTGTAGTTAAATAATAACTATAATAATAAATAATAATACAATAATAATAAGTATATTAGCAATGCAGTCAACAGGAACCATGGCAAGAAGGTCCAACAGGATCCTGATAACCTGCCAAGAACCGAGAAACACAAACTTGGTGAAGTGAAGTTAGTAACATGAATGATCATGGATGATGAATCATGGGAAATCCCCGAATATCGGCTATAGCACATAAACTAGGGATGGTTCAGCGAACTCATCTGATCAGCCCTAACCTAATAAAAGCTTTTATAAAAGATGAACCGTCTTTAAGCCTACTCTTTAAATGTGGAAGGGGTGTTTGCCTCCCAAACCCAAAACTTGGAGCTGTTCCACAGGAGAGGAGTTTGGGTAACGAAGGCTCCGGCTTCCTGTTCTACTTTTGAGAACTATAGAAACAATAACCCTGCCATTAAAGACGCAAGTGTTCCTAGAGGGTAATAGGGTATCTAGAGCTCTTTTTAAGATATGAAGGGCTTGACACGAATAGCTTTTGGTAGGTAGGAGGAGGATTTTAAATTCTATTTTAAATTTTTTAACCAGAGGCCATGCAGAGAAGCTAGACAGGAGAGATGTGATCCTTTTCCTAGTTCTGTCCAAGTACTCGTGCTGCCCAGAGTTCTGAAATTTAATTGGAGCGTCCCCTAGATGACTTATTGGGGAGCCTGATAACTAAGGAGTTTGCAGTAATCCACTACGAAGTAAACAAAATGCTTGAATAGTTTTGCATCAGTCTGGGACAGGGATGTGGTCCTAATTTTTTTGTAGTCATTTAAACGTAAATGACAGAAGGCCGTCCTTCACGAGGGTTGCTTATGTGGAAAATTAAATGACATGTCTGACAAAGATAACCTCCAAGATTCCTGAACAAGGTGTTAAGGCCAAGGTAATACCATTCTAGAGTAACTATAATTTTAGCCAGTGATCTCTGAGTTTTTGGGACCAAGTATAAGAATTTTGTTTATTTTCTGAGTTTAACATCAGAAAATACAGTACAGAACCTGTGGAACTCCCATGTAACTGTTGTATTTATGAAGATTCAACGTTAAACGTGTACAAACCAGAACGATCTGATAAGTATGAACCTAAACCAGCCTTAGTGCGGTTTCCTTTTAATGCCAAATTTGATGCTCAAATCCCTGTAAAAGAATATCAAATGGTCAATGGTGGGTCAAATGCAAGCAACTAAGAATTTTAGGGAAGTACTCTATACAACATATGTACTTGATGCGTTCACTGGGAAGGGATTGACCCATGGTTAGGGCGTGTGGGTTACGAAGGAACCCAGTCACCATTATTCCAGGAATCCTTTAACGGACGTTGTACATTGCAAGATAGGTTTCCAGGGGACAGATCTAGTCATTGCATTGGCAAAGGAATTGGTTTTTGTTGTAATAGAAAATGTCTAATTTGATGTCATATTTGTGTGGCAGTTATTTGAGTTTTCTTGTTTTCTTTAGTCACCTTTCTTGTAACATTTTTCCTTACTCCCAACCAGGTTCACTGGGAAAATATAAATTTTTTTAGACCCCAGACCATTATTTTTATGGGGATGCTCACCGATTCCATCAAATGGAAATATTCTAGATGCTTGTCATCATTTTACACAATCATTTTACCCAAATTGAGCTGCCAAAAATAAAGGGGAGTGCCTTATTTGTTATTTTGGGAAACCTGCGGGATTTCACTAAAAATGACAATGGTGGGTTTGAACCTCGGTCCCAGCGTGACCGAAAGTTGACATCTCTGCATTAGAACGAGGAGGAAACTGGGACCAGGCCAAGACACTGGGTCGGAGTGAGAAGGAGAAACACAATCCAAAACACCACCTAAAGAATACTCAAACAAAGCAGCGTTAATTCACTTTCTTCTCTCGGAAGAACCCTCTGGTCCTGCTGAGTCACTGTGTTTCTACCAGGTCCATTCCTTCCCTCCCTTCCTTTTCACCACTGAACCCTTCTTTATCATTTCCCCTCTCTTTTTCTTTCTAGACACTTTCTCACGTCTCTGTACTGCCTTTGTATATTGTTGTACCATAGCTGTATACTAATATGATCTCATCTTTGAGTAGACGCTCTGCCCACAGCACACTTTGCGTTCGAGCTGATAAGACGCAGCGTATACATACAAGAGGTCCTCCCAGAGTCTTTTATTAACAACACATATATATTACTTGTCTTTACTGACGAACGTGAATCTGGAGAATTATTGGCTATACATCAAACACTACAACTAACTGGAGAGCTTAATATAAACAAGACTAGAGCGAATCATTAACGGACTGCTCTGCTGACTGCTAAACTTCAAATGATACAAAACTTAAAGGAGACACTTGCAACCTCTTTCAGCTTAATAACCGTTTTTACGGATCATTTGATGTTGAAAATGACCTTGTCGGTTGAAATGGTGACCCCCCACCCTCAGCGCACAGGCGAAAAAACCTTGCAACTTTAGCGACCACGGTGCGCCACGTACAATTGGGAAATAGCTACCGGAGACAGGGAGAAACGACGAGAAAATCACGAACGGCCGTTTACGGCAGTTCACATAGAACCCACACGCCGCCTCAATAAAAGCGTTAATGTACTAAGTACTACCCCCACGTCGTAGATTGCTCAACCAACGCGCAAAGTTGGCCCGGCGAACAAAAAGGCACATCAGCAGCGGTAGCAAGCGAGGAGAGGTGCCCGCAAAGTAGCCGTTTTGTTTTTCACGACGTGCTTTGAAATACACTTCCACCCACCGACGCTTAGACGCGAAATGTCGTTGAGAAACATGCGATGACAAAAGTGAGAAACACAGCGAATGAAATGGCTAGCAGTGTCCAAGTTCCCTTTAAAGCAGCACTTATTGTGTAGAAATACAGCTCACTATAAGTGCTAAATTAACAGAGTCAATCACTGCGGCAGAGCTACTTACACCTGTAGATGCTAGCTAGCAGAAGCCACAGGTCATACGAAAAATCAAAAAGTTTGCTTAACATGACATTTCTTTAATAAAAGCAAGTGTCACCTTCGTCAATATTACACATATTACTCCACAGAACAAATAGTCCCAAGGCACGAAGCGTGTCAGAAATTAAATCAGCAGACCAACCATGCTATTGCACACTGTCTCTCTTGCCTGTTTGTGATCAACTGCAAGAAATGTGTAAAAATTTCCAGCTCTGACCAGTAGAGGGCAGTGCACATAAGAACTAATGCCAAAAAATGGAATTTTTAATTTTTAACCTTTATTAACTCACTTTTTTAATAATAACTATTACTTTTTTACTACTTTAAAAACTTATACTAAATTAACTTGTAGCCAATTTTATCATGGAAACTTCAATATTGATATTTAATTGTCTTTACTTTGTAGTTTTACAAGCTGTTTTTATCATCAGCTGGTAATATTATGGTTTCCAATACTTTTCACATTTTCTTCACCATGTTCCAGACATTGACTTTGTTGTTGTGGATGTTTTGCTATACTTCGCACTGGGTTTCATTGAATCTTTAAAATAGCTGTTTAAAGCTTGCATGTCACCGAAACTGACTCAGTTCAACATTTGCAGTGTCTTGCAGAGTTAGTTTTATTTTTAAACATCCATAGAGCCTTGTTTTCCCTACCACAGCGAGCAAAGTGTAAAAGTAAAAAGCCTTATGTAGCTTTTAAGAAACTTTTTACTACCCAGGGTCAATATGTCTATACTTTGCTCTATAATGTTGCCTAGGTTACATTTCCAAATTACTGATTCACCAATATAATAAGATGCTCCTCCTGGAAAACAGTCCAACAGAAATATCAAAAGCATATTCAATTCAATTCAATTCAATTCAATTTTATTTGTATAGCACCAATTTCTAACAGAAGTTATCTCAGGACACTTTCGATAGAGCAGGCAGCTGGCTCTAGGTAGGGCAATTTGCAAGTTTCACTTCATTGCTAGATGACAATAAATCCTACACACTGGTGTGCAAAGCTTGTTAGGTAAATTAGAATTGGATTGTGCTTACTTGATTGTAAATGTAATCCTATATCCTACATTTTCTTACCCGTGTCTGTTTTCCCTGCCTCCTCCCAGACGAAGCTGTCTATATTGTTTCTGGGCCACAGTGCAGACCTGAGGCCTGGGGAGTTTGTGGTTGCGATCGGCAGCCCGTTCGCCCTCCAGAACACCGTCACCACCGGCATCGTCAGCACTGCTCAGAGAGACGGGAAGGAGCTGGGCCTAAGGGACTCCGACATGGACTACATCCAGACAGACGCTATTATCAACGTGAGAATATAGCAATGTAGACGTGTTCTGAGTCAGTAGTATATTTTTCAGGCAGAGTCAGCCTGGAATATGACTCTATTTCAATTTGCAATTTGGTTGTAAAATTTTTTTATGCATTTCTTTTTGTTTTCCTTCACAGTATGGAAATTCAGGAGGACCTCTTGTCAATTTGGTAAGCTTTTTGATTGCTGTGAAATACCTTTCTCTGCTTAGGTCTGATAAACTTTGAACATAGTGCCCTTGAACTGTTATTCTTGATGACAGCAACTGTAGAAGCCTTTTCTACTGTTGTACTCCTGTACTCCTCATCCCAACAATCTCAAAATGAGCCCTGCTGTGTCTGTATTTGAGGATGGGGAGGTGATCGGCATCAACACCCTGAAGGTTGCAGCAGGGATCTCATTTGCCATTCCCTCCGACAGGATCACTCGCTTCCTCAATGATTCGCTCGATAAGCACAGCAAAGGTGAGTGACATCACTAGCATTAAACATCTGCGAGTATCCTGCTGAGCATACAGAAACTAACTGGAGCCTCTTTCAGATGTGAGGTCAATAAAGAAGCGTTTCATTGGAATCAGGATGCTGACTATCACACCAGCGTAAGTCTGTAATTATTATGTTGTTGAGAAATGTGGCAAATTTAATACAGATTCATTTTCAATATTAAATACTCAACTTCTGGCTTTTTTCAAAGCATATAACACACTACAACCACCGGCCCAGCTATGAGTAGGTTACAGCACAGTAACAGCTGCAACATTCAAATCAAAAGCTCTTGAAAGTAGCCATGGTGTACCTCAAGGATTTATATGGGGTCTTCATTTAACATCCCTTCCTCTTAGCATTATAACATACTTTAATGCAGATAATTTGCCTTGCTTGTTGTTGTATTTTCAATTTTTCAATTCAATTCAATTCAATTTTATTTGTGTAGCGTAGACCCAACAGTACCACCATGAGCAAGCACATGGGCAAGAAAAACTGCCTGTTAAAAGGCAGAAA